TTATTTATTTATATATTTACATACGAATCAAATTAATTAATACTAGAGTTGTTTTGTTGCGGGAAATAAAATACAGTTAGAAATGGATTCATGATATAATTATTTATATTAAAATTTAATAAAATAATAGAAACTATAAATATATTGGTTTGTTGTCTATGAGAATTGGTTTATTCATATGTATATAAATATAACATAAAAATTGACAAATTTTACAAATTATTTTCAATTTTTTGAGCTCAAACTCAAAACAGTGATCAGTAATCATGAGATTGTGATTTGTCTTTAATATATATTTGATCTGAAAAACAGCCTATGATTTGATTTACAATTGAAATATAAATACAAATTATTATTTATGTATAAAGAATTCGCTATTAATTGTCTTTGAAAAGCCATTCATTCATTCAATTCACAAGAATTGGGCGAAAAATTCAATTCTCAAATGAATCAAAACCAAGCGTTCGTTCAAATTATGTTCATTATTATCGTTATTATTATAATCGTTGTAATAATAAACACTAATAATTATTTTGGTGGCAAATTTGTTTGAATTAATGCTGTTATTATATTTGGCCAAACATTACGAGTAAAATATGGCAATAAATGGGTTGTGGGTATTGTTTAAAATGTTTTCAAAAACTAAAACATAAAAAACAAATTTAAAACAATAGTTATTATTAAAAACAACAAAAATCAGATCCAATGAGTGAAGAACGGGTGCGAATGGTGTGATCACATCGACAACACATTTAATGATTTACTTTGCAATCAAAGTATGGCTTTTTTCACTTCCATTTAAGTATATTTGGTTCACAATAAACACATCAATCCTTTCTCTCGCCTTTAATAAAGACTTGATTTCCAACAGATTAAGTGTTATTATAATTATATTTTATTATTTATTAACACTTTTTTCTCTCGCATAACGTTATGAGAGACAAAATCGAGTCATTTATTTACAATTAATCATAAATTTTCTTATATTTTCGGATAATTGTTTTGATCGCACCTCAAGAAAAGGCACACATTTTGTTGTTTTGTTTTACAACACATCTCTCGAAATGCCGTCAGAATTGTCAAACTCTTGAGAAGTTTCGCAACAATTCTTCATTGCATTCATTTATATAAAATCTGTTTTCAGTGTCCGCACGATCTGTGTATTTATTGTCCACACATTTTCATGTCATTATAATTTTTGGCACAAATGATGAATAAAAGTGACGAATAAAACATTGTTTAGTTAGAAGTCTTAAATCCTAAATAAACAAAACAATCGGTTCTTGAGTTGTGCTTATATTCTGATCCACGAAAGCATTAAATTGATTGTAATTATAAGCGTTAATGTAGTGATTGGTGACCACATGAGAGCACCGCCACTATTAAGTCCATCACTTTTTTCTCGGGTATCGTTCGGACGCTTATCGCTGACGTCTGCGAGAAACAAAAAGTCATAAATTAATAAAATGATAATTTTTTGTCACAAATCTGTGCGATAAGAATGCATAGGAATATAGAGACAGAGGGGGAGAGAAGAAAAAGAGTGAATAATAAATGTTTTGGGCGTTAAAGACATTTGAAATTTTATTTATTTAATATTTCATATGAATGTTAGCGATGGCCAGACTTTGTGGAAATGGCTTTTTATCGCAGCTCTATGTTAGGTATGCAATGAGATTGCAATGCAATGAAATGTACTGTTTTCGTGATGGTTAGCAAAAGGCATCAAATCTTTTATGTAATTGAAAAACAATTTTTTCTTTCTATTGGCTTTCGATGTGTATGTAAGCGCTCAGTGTTTACACCTGGCCTTCCAGTGCAACACTAGTGAGTGTTGTGTCCCTTCTGGCCATAACTGATACCTTCTTCTTACACATTAGTTTTGTTAAATTGAATGTTTTAGGCTTTGCTTTTAGGCCACATATCGGCCCCCTTTTTACAGCTCTATCCCAATCCCCAATACCTTATAACTAACTAATACTTGTTTATCAGACTATTATTCAAATGTCTTCAGCGATCAATTCTGAGAATATCATCCATTGATAAGAGCGGTATTTAAAACATTTTTATTATTTAATAAAAAACTGTATTCTGTTTAATGGACTATAATTGGCTCAAGTCTTGAATGAAGTTTCAATCAAAATAAAAAACGGTGAGAGAGTAGTAAAGAGTAGTAAAAATATATCGCAACACAAAGAATACCAATTAAAGGCATTTAATGTCAAAATTGATAGTGAGTTGTGAGACAATACCTTTCTTCTTGGAGGGGTAGCCCTGATCTGCGGGTCTCGAGGGGTCGTATATATGCTTAATGGCTGGCATTCGGGTGAAGTGCGGTCTCCACCAGTACGGGGTTTGAGCTGTTGAGGCCTGTATTGCTGGCGACTTGGATGACATCGGATACGATGCCATCAGCGATGGTCTGGTCGTGGAGTAGACATTGGAGTTGTTGGAGAGCGACGTCTCATACCATGTGTTCTTGTGGTGGCGTTTGGGGGCACTCGTGTCGAGCAGCGGTGGGGCCCGGTTTGAGCTCACATTGACGGGCGGCTCCAGAGTCCATATTCTCACCGCACGAGTGGTTGAGCTCTGAATGACTGGTTTTGCAGTCGTCGTACTCGTTGTGGTGGATGTGGTCGTTGAACGCACTGATGGCGGAGACACTGTAGTCATCAAACAAATAGACAACAAAAAACCATTAATTGTTAATTATTTCATATATTCCTGTATTTTCTATTCAGTGTATTTCTCCATTTGTTTTAATAGCTTTGAAACATATATTTAATTACAACTTCGGGTGAGAAAAGAGAACAATGAATATTGAAATACAAGACATACATATCGAGAGAAGAAATGTGGTTTCAAACGCTTTAAATAACAAATTATACGGTGAATGAAAAATTAGGGCACAAAAAGTTTTTACTATAAATAATAATAATAATGATTACTATTGTTATGGAATAGACATAAAGAATTTATTTATTTGAATTTCTAGTGTGAATACAATTATGCATAAATAGGGGACACTTGGGTTGAGCCACATATGAGGGTTTACACCTCACGGAAAGGTCTGCACCGATGGTTTGGTTTCGCATATCTCTCGCCAAACAATGAGAGTCTCACACATGTGTACGAAACGGACGGTTCGGTAAAGTAAAGGCCGGAATAATAGGCAGAAATAAATGAGAGGAATCTCTCAATTATTATAGGATAGCGATTGTGTCGGCAATTGAATCAAAATATATTAATGAAAAACTGACTTAACATTCATTCATAATCATAACACAGAGAGGGGCTCACGGTTTTGCCGATCGCACCAACACTTCGAGGTGTAGGCAATGTATGGCAGCGATTGAGAGGAGAAAAAACGCTATGAAACGAGTGATTGGGATTCAAACCCGAGGCAAACAACTTATATAATGATTAACATATTATCTGAAGAATGCAATACATCTATGAAAATAAATATAATATCTTTGCCAGAGATCTGCGAGACGTAAATAATAATTTTAAAACGATTTTTAACTAAGCATTTGATGATAGAGTTTAAAGCCATCGCTTGTATTCCCAGAGCCTATTGCCCAGTGATTGAGACCCGAAAATAGTATTCAATAATAATTTTCATTTAATTGGATTATTAACTAAATTGAAGCCCAGAATCTGCCGAACCATTACTTCTTTTAAATTAATTTCCAATAAAAAAAGACCGAAACAAATGAAGTAATGACCAAAAAGTCTAATAAAATGCAAATCAATAATCAAACTAATTATTCGCCAATAAGTCTATAGTCTTAAACCATTAGAAAAACAGTCGCCAATTAACTGACGGGAAGACCACCCAAACAACGCAAACACACAAACAATTTTTCGTCGCTAACAGTATTCATAAAATTGCTTTCAAATCAAATATTTGCTTCAATCGATACATACAATGTCTATAAATAAATACAAACGATTTTTGTGTGAAATTTGTTGCGAGAAAAATATATTCATTGAATAATATGCATAAAAACCAGGAAAACGACAGAATCCATACATTATATACTACAGTATACATTATATAACGGCATGTCTTTCAATGGCTAAGTGTGTGACTCATTCACATCGCTTCTTCTCTCTCCTTCTTTGCCATCAGTTTTAATATACCGTACAATCAATTGTATGAATATTTTTACTCAAATATAGTTACTATTCATACATTCATTCGCTTCAGAATATATTATTATTATTCAATATACTACTCAATAAAATATAATTAAATTACGGTAAATGAATGTATTGAACACATACTGTACACCGAATACGGGCACAACTGATTGGGTCTATAATTAAGTTAATATAGAAAATGCAAATACATTTCAAATAATAATATGTCGTTCCCATCGAATCTGCGCTAAAAATAATAAACAATTTTTTGTAAAACCTTAATAAAGACTTTGTACTATATATTTATAACACTAGCGAATCGACCTCTAAATTAATTACAATTTAATTCCGAGTCCAGGAAAACGGCAATTCGTATAATAAACTCGTGTATTATATTTGCCGCCAACCATTGACACCGGTATTCAATTATTAATTGGTTATCAAATTAGAAAAACCATTTCTTTCTTTCTTTCTGTCTCTCTTTAGCTTTAATTCAAAACTTGTAATCATTTATTGGCAAATATAAAAAATAATAATAAATACAGAGCTCTTTGGCAATACTTCTTAAAAGAATTGATCAAAAAGTTTATTTAAACTTTAAATACAAGGAAAAAGAGTTAAATATTATTTAGAAAATCTCTTATTTTTGTCATTAAACCTAATGATCGCTAAATAGATTAAAATTGTTTTCAATCCAAACATTAAATATAATAAGTAAAAAACGTAAAATATAATTAATCAATAGATGAGAAAAATAATTAATTTGTTGATCTCTACTAAACAGCTGTACATCTAATATAAATATAAATATAATAAAAAAAATATTTGCAATAATTTTAACATTTTTTCTGATGTTTTCTCATATATAGTACCAAAAGATAAATGGTTTCAATAATTCATTGGAAAATGTTTTGGCAAAACTCAATATTAATTATGTGTTGCTTAATTCCGAGTCCAGGAAAACGGCAATTCGTATAATAAACTCGTGTATTATATTTGCCGCCAACCATTGACACCGGTATTCAATTATTAATTGGTTATCAAATTAGAAAAACCATTTCTTTCTTTCTGTCTCTCTTTAGCTTTAATTCAAAACTTGTAATCATTTATTGGCAAATATAAAAAATAATAATAAATGCAGAGCTCTTTGGCAATACTTCTTAAAAGAATTGATCAAAAAGTTTATATAAACTTTAAATACAAGGAAAAAGAGTTAAATATTATTTAGAAAATCTCTTATTTTTGTCATTAAACCTAATGATCGCTAAATAGATTAAAATTGTTTTCAATCTAAACATTAAATATAATAAGTAAAAAACGTAAAATATAATTAATCAATAGATGAGAAAAATAATTAATTTGTTGATCTCTACTAAACAGCTGTACTTCTAATATAAATATAAATATAATAAAAAAATATTTGCAATAATTTTAACATTTTTTCTGATGTTTTCTCATATATAGTACCAAAAGATAAATGGTTTCAATAATTCATTGGAAAATGTTTTGGCAAAACTCAATATTAATTATGTGTTGCCTTCGAGTGGAGTCAAGCAATTTAGGAGTACTTTTCAAACACCTCTCGCATAAGAAACAAGAGAATAAAGAATATAAGTATTAAAGCATTTAAATTGCGGTTCTCTTATATTGAAGAACAGCCGTAACCAAACCCCCCGCCCAACATTCCCAACACACCAGACCTCTCTCTCTCTCTCTCTCTCTCTCTCTCTCTCTCTCCCCTCTACCACTCACTCTCTTCTGGCTGTAAATCTCGAGGATTCACTCAAAACGTCTATCCATTGCCTAACATTCCTACCATTAGTCGGGAACATAAAGAAGTAAAACTAAAAAACACAACAAATATATGGTAGTATTGCTATTCTTATACCTATTGTTAATCACTATATTCTATCTCTTTTGACGAATAAATATATTTTATTATTATTACAATTTT